TTGAGTCGCCCATGGCTTGTTGCGCAGAATCCGGTCATGGACTTTCTCCAGGCCTACTAGGCACATTACACGGACGAGGGAGCTCCCAGGATTTCTCAACAACCTGGCGTAGGCCAGATTTGGTCAAGGGTGCTTCATCATGATCTGAAGCCACCTTGGTATGCTTGAAACTGGAGTAGGCTTTTCTGACGCACCTCTTTCTAAGCACCTTTGCGTAAACTCTTCTCCGAGGGACTCAGTCAGGTAACGTGCCAATAACTGTAGCATTCCTTATAATGTCTTTGCTTGAAGAAGGGTGCTGCAAGTCCGGTTTCCCAGTCTGAACAAGTCACATAGCATAAATCGCAATCGCAAAGGAGGCAGCAATTTTATTTCATTTTTGTTGATTGCTATGAGGATAAATGCTCTCCAGTCTAACGCAACTTTTGGTGCTTACGCAAAACTATATGATCGATTCTTTAGTCCGCTGATATAGAATCAGATCGTTTATTTTGATCTGTTTTTTAATATTTTGTATTCAATAAAGATTTTTTGCCTTTCGCGCTGTTAACCGTGAAATCAGAAGATGCATCAGTTTCAAATCATTCACAGTACGGCATCGATATGAGTATAATTTGTTATCCTTTACTTCGTAAATTTTCAAGGCTTGTTTTCTATTAATCGGGATGACTTCAGCACTTAGCTGAAGTACTCGTTTGTGTAGCGTTTAAATCTTGCTGTATATCAGAAGAAAGGCTAGTTAAGTCTTAGAAAAATCTATGGTTTACTAAAGAAAGGACCTTAATATTTTGATCTGATGCTTTTGGTGGAAATTACGGTGTCGTTTTTAAGCAACCATGAACTTTTCAAGTTAAAGTAAATCTGTAAGTTTTGCTGCTTAATAACTACTGATTGATATTTGGTCTTAGAAGCTGTCAAAATTCTTGAAGCTCCGGGAAAAATTCCAGGTTGTTCCCCTTGTCGCAACATAGATGACTGCATATCTGATCTTCGAGCCCAGGTGGCTGCCAACAAAAAGGTAATTTCTCAGCGGTTCAGTGTCCGCCGCTTGCGTTTTAGTCCCTAAAGTTTTGAAAAGTTAACACTGATCCGCATCTGAGATAGATTCAGTATCTTACGAGGGTATAAGTTTACCACAAACAAGGCCACACTAGTTTATGCGTTGAACATTAAGAATAATTATAATTTTCTACCATTATCAGTATGTATCATTTTCCGTTTTATTTTGTGTCTCAGAGATTGTGTTAGAAAATTATTTAACGCATAAAAATGTCGTTCAATATATGGCTAGAGTTCTTAGATGATTTTATATTTAGCTACATTCTCTCTACGTTGCATCTTGCTTTCAGGGTATCGATCTCACTACTGACTTGATTGAGCAGTATGGCGTTGCTGTTGTGCAGGCATATATGAGTCACATTCAGGTGAATGGTGACGCTCTTTGCAGAGTATCGCTTTTTTAATGTTTCAACTTTGGATCTTAGAATAATGCGGAGATTACGGTGAGGAAGCTTCTGCGTGATATGACGTTTAAACTGAATAATAGCGTTATGGAAGCGACTGATTTCATGGACGACGGCTCAGCGATTTCGCTCAAAGTCACCATCGATCAGGAAGCGGTGTGTTATGCATCTTTACGACGCCAATTCAGTGGCATTTTCAGGGCAGCGCGGTTTTTGACTTCACCGGCACCAGCTGCGAGGTATACGCAAATCTGAACGCTCCAACGGCTGTTACAACTGCAGCTGTGCTCTACTGCATTCGCTGTCTGATCGACGACGACATACCCTTGAATCAAGTGAGTGCACGTGAACTGCGTAAAGTTAAACTTTGATGCATCTCTTCGTCGATCATTTACCGATTCGTGCGAAAGTGGTCCCTTTCATGACTAGTCCTTGGCAAGGATGCATTAAATTTTATGTGCTGATTCGCTGGCGACATGTCACTGAGAACGAAATCCATACAACAATTGCCAATATCTTTCTCTGTTCAAAGGAATGAAATCATGGGAAAAAATTTCGGCAAATTTCGGCAACCTTCATGCACTGCCTTTAGCCGCTTTTGACTATTAACGTGACGCAAATCCTACAAATCTTTCCAGTTCCAGATATGTGCCTTTCAGCATTTGCCTGAACTATTTTACATCTAGCCGTGAGCATTATTCTATGTCCATATGATAGATGGGACTAGACTTTGCTCTGCTCTCTTCCAAGTGTTTATTCATTCTTGTAAGACAAACGAGTTGCACTTCGTAAAAATGAACAGGAGACCATAGGCTTCATCGACCAGCTGGATGTAAATATTGCTTTCAGAAAAGAAGCGCTGAGCCTTTTACGTACAAATTTTACTTTAGAGTCATTTTGTCTTGACTTCTGTGTTTAAATTTAGGGTTGTCTGAAACCTATTAGGATAACTGTCCCGGAGGGCTCGCTTTTGAATCCAAGCTCTAACGCAGCCGTCGTCGGTGGCAATGTCCTTACATCTCAACGTATCGTCGATGTCATACTTAAATGCTTCAAAGTGTGTGCGGCCTCGCAAGGATGTATGAACAACGTTTCATTTGGAGATACCTCATTCGGCTACTACGAAACGATTGCTGGCGGAAGCGGTGCGGTAATCATTAAATATTTCCTCGCTGTTTGACTGAGTTTACTGTCTGTGAAACTTAATATTTTATCGTCTGTGTTACAATCATGCAGTGATCATAAGAAAGCCATTAGTCCAGTCATCTTATCGGAAGGACATAACGTGTAATCATATCTGCCATATAATATAAGATGAAATTATATTGTTTATATTCGTTATCGATTATGCAAATTGGATAAATTATATGTACTTGATTGGCACTGGAATGCTAAGTATTTGATATGTAAGTAATTATACTTATCAGACAGGACAACGCAAAGCTGAAAGAAAACAGTTCTTCGAGGGCATTGGCCA